TAGCTTGTAAGTCTGACGTAGTGAATCTATGTAAAGAGTCCGGGACGGACTATTGTCAGGACAGGCCGAACTGTGATACACCAGTATGTTGATGTAGGTGATTGTGTGTATGCGTGATTATTGTCTGTGACTGCGCTAAGAGAGACCTCCGGCGAGAGAATAAAGAGAGAACAATTACCAAGAGTACACCAAGTCGTAAGATTTAACACCTTGCATTAACCAAATCCTGAAAATAGTTTGAGCCTTACAATATTATCGAAAGTTGTGAAAATAATTTCGATAGCATTATAATATTATTGCAGTTTCCGCGGCGAGATAGTAAACAATGATGTACATCGTCAGCTGTGCTGTCACCGTCGTCGGCAACTCGGATTTTAGAGAAAACCAAACGAAAATTGGAAAGTTATATATAAATTCCAAATTCCGCATATTTTACGCATCATAGAGTTTAATAAAAACCTTCTAAATTCATTTCACAGCAGTACAGCAGTATGCTCGAGAATATTATAAGAACCTCGCTCGGACAACCACAAAAATCGTATGTATCTTTCTGCTCAGAAACTTTAAAGCCTATTCTACAATGGCACGTTGCCGGTCGACGTTTGTCGCAAGTCATTTCTACATACCAATCAAAATGATTTTTTCACTTTTTTCGTGTCTACGACATGGTGCTTCAAGCCATATACAGGGTGAGTCGTTTAACTTGGCACAAATGAATTTCTCAGAAAGGAAGCATTTTACGAAAAAAAATGTTCGAACAAATTTCATTTGGTCTCGAGGGGGAAATTTTATCTCTTAAATGCACGTATCGCTGAAAGTAGAACTTTTGTATCCTTGTCAGCCGATACATTTTTTAATTTTTGGATCTTTTCATTACAAGATGTTGTCTTACACTTGTTCCCTTCTGCTTCGAAAATCGCAAATTTTGCTACGAATTGCTGTCATTTAAAAAAAATCATTATTGTTCAAATAAGGTATGACAAATACTAGTTTTATTCATGTAGTTTATTAGAAAATTTGTTGTTTGTTTCAGATGAGAGGGGGCGGGAATATCTGGTACAACGAACGCTGTTTCTACAAATATTGTTCGGAAAATTGCTGTTAGCGCCTATTTCTAATATTTTTTATTAAAATTTGGGGAAGATATTCTCAAAAAACTACTTTACAAGACATGTATTTTCATTTTTAATAAAATATAATTTTATCTACATATATTGAAAATTTGTTAATTCTGATTTAATTTTAGATCTGCCAAAGATATGTAACCCCTTAATAAAAAATAATGATAAATGTTATATAAATCCGTAAAGACAATTGATTAAATTATGAGCAATCCCATTTATTCCTTTATTGAGATTTATCATTATTAAGGAGGGACGAATCACACTAATCAAATAGTTTTGTTTAAAAATTTGTTAACAAGCTCTTAAATAGTACAACTAAAAGTATATTCTTCATGAAATTTTTAGTATGATGTAACATGATCGACTTATAATATTTCAATTACAGTTAAATAAAGACTTTGCATCAACTGCAAACATTAATTCAATCTATTTAACAAACATTTTATTCAAATGTGGTAAAATTCACTTTGTCTAATGTTTATCAGGCTATAAAATTACTCACGAAATGGTGTATTAGTATTAGGTCTACCGGAAAGTTCTGTCCGATAATGTTATCTCAAGTCAATTAAAAAACGAACAGAACTTTGCGATAGACTCAATATCTACTATTATTTAAAAACTAATAACTAGCAATTGCATTTTAAATATCGTCATAATTCTTCTAACATTTCAATTTATTTTTGATCGATATAACACTTGCTGTCCCAATATGCATTTAAATTTTGATAGACTTCACAATTTCTTTTTCCTATAAGTTCATAAAAGTATATTGCTCATTACTAGATATTTTTTTAACGAAGTGCATTAGAAGATGTGCGATTACGTTTGTTACGAAATGCAGTGAGTAAATCCTACTTTAAACATCTATATTTTCATAACTAGATGGTAAGGGATTTTTATTTTTTTTATTTATGACGGGGAATATCTGGCGGTATTACAGAATTCAAACACAATGAACAATATTAGTATAGACATTTATTTTGAACCACTTTAATAAATATCTTGTTGCATCATTTTATTAAAAAGACAAATTCCAATTAGAAGACAAAGAAATAACAAACTATTTACGCAGACCATATTTGAAATAAAAAAATGAATTCTTTAATTTCAAATTACATTTCTTTACTCATGCATGCAAAATCCTCATTTGCCGTTTACAGACATCCAAAATAGTTGATTGCCGCACAGTGTGCAAAGGCGATGCGCAAAGTAAATTTATCAGTGAGCAAAATGTTACCATCGGTGGGCAAAATGCTTTGCACATTGCTATTATTACTAGCGCCATCTAGCGTCGCAAACGGTTTCCATGTTAACACCGAGTTGTTAAAAAAAAAGAAAAATCGGAAAAAACCTTGATCCTATCCACCGTCTATTCGCGTTTCTTTCGATTTCACAGATCTCGGATTTTGCATTACATTCGTAAAGAAAAATAGTGTTCGATACAAGAAGCCAAACTCGCTTCTTGTGCATTGATGAAGTAATAATGTTACTAGTCTTTGATGATATTTATCTTTAAACTGTATCGATTCTCACAAAAATTCGTAGAGTTAAAGTTTAATCGATTTTTAATATCAATCAATTTATTGCTATTCAACCTGAAGACCTAGAATTGAATATTATTTTCAAAGCCTTCCTTGAACATTGATTCATCCGCACGCTACATTCTTATCTGCATCAAAAACATTGTAAACCAAATTCAATTATAAGCAATCAATGAAAGCAATAGACATTTATTTTTCAGCATTCAGATTCGTTTTAGAAATATAACTAAAACAAATCGATCTGTTTGTAATAATAACATGCTGTTCTACCGCTCACGAACGTTAATATTTAACGTAAATTAATAGTTAACATATATTTCGTACCACCGTAATAATGAAGTTCAATTTGTTTGCACATATACAGTGCAATAATTACTATTTTTCAAATGAAATCACTATTCTATTTCCTAAACTAATTCTTCACATACGGATTTATCATTCTTACCACTTTACATATTAATTTTGATATTTCATAATTTTACCACATTCTCTAGTATTTACTCAAATTTGACTTCATCCGTCATACAATAAATTTGTTAATCGGCTTTCGTAAAGCTGATACTATATATGCACCTTCTGAGTTTAAAACTGTTATGGACCTTAGCTTTGCGGTTATTACTTTTTGTGTTCACTTTATGATTCGGAATATAAAACAATAAAATGTGATCAATGCTAAGCACATGTACAAATAAAAGTGTGTAAATAAAAATTGTAATGGAAATATAAATTGTTTAAGACAGATATGAATAAAGATGCATAAATTAAAATTAAAATAGAAATACAAATTTTTTACGATAGAAAGATCATTTTATTTGAATTTAACTATATCTCTATAATTTGAAATGTATTTTCAATTGAAAAACCAATTGATATCGTCTTTATACCGTGACGAGATTTTTATAGTGTAATCAAAGGCCTATAATGTGTGACACATTACTTTAAAAAGTGATTGTGTAGAGGCAACGGAGTAAAACGGGCATCCAGGGGAAACAGACAGCGCTCTCGATGATTCCCAATTAATGGGAAAATTATTTCTACAGTTTCCTCAGATTTTCTATGTATAAACTAAGTTTGGAGATGAAACTTTGACAAGGAAAGTATGCAAAAATAATACTTCTTTTTTCTCAAGGACTTTGATTTTTCTTACGCAATCGGACTTTATTTTCTATATAACGAAATAAATATGACGTATCGACAGTTTATTTACCTGTTGCCATATGCCTGTTTCATACTGGCCGTCGACAATACTCGTTTTGACTCGCTCTCTCGTAAATATAATTTTTAAGTTACAGGATAAATGTCAGGATCATTACGGCAAATCCAATCTTCTCAGATAAAAAATACTAAATAGTACAATTCAACAGAAAATTAATCTTTCGCTCAATATTTCGCTAAACTTTGAAATTCCCAACGTTATGCTTTATGAGAGATTTGAATGTAATTCACGTCGAAAAAATTCCACAGGCCGAGAATTCCAAGGCCCATAATACAAAGGATATGTTCGCAAATTATAATTTTGTTTCTACAATTAAATTACTAATAAAATTCAATACTGTCATATTTATACATTAAATTATTATAGTTATATTATGTTATGTTACGTTGAATAGTCCAAATAAAAAATTACATTCTTTTTAGTGACTACTATACTATGATCAGTTGCAGTCTCTGTGTCTCGATTATACTATATTTTCATTTTTGTGACAATACAAAACGAGAATAGCAGAAATATATTTTTCGCATTATCACTAAATAAAGATATATATTGAGTTTCCCATATATTCTACTTAAATCAACTCAAAGCATGACTCTTGGGCGGCTCGAATAGAAAGTTTCCGAAACGGCCTCTGATGCAGTTCTCCTTTTTAGCCAAATGCAAAACGACCTGCGCACGATAAAATCTCAATCATCGTCCTCTGGAGTTAGGCTACATAAAACAGCGCGAGGGTCAACCAGGTCTCTTCATCATGGTGAACACCTAAAAGCGGTCACTCATTTCGATACACCATAGAGTACCTATGAACCGGTTTCGCATTTATGTATTTTTTCCTCCTTGAACGTTTTTTACCCTCAGGCTTGTTACCTAAGAGTTTTCTCTTTAATTTCTCCAATGCAAAAGTCTCACGTTAGTGTTCAATTACGGTAGTTGTGATACATAACAATCGGAACAATCCAAATAGTACTAGTCTCATATAAATAACAAGAGATAGATCTTTGCAGTAATTTTTTTAGTTTATTCGATACATCGCTCCATTCATAATAGTAGCAATCACAAGAACAAAATTGTTTTTGTGAAGTTAAAATAAGTACAAAATTTGAGCACAATTGATACAAGTAAATCATTTATATTTTCTCAATAGTAGATGTATAATGGTATATAAGTTGCAATATTAAGAATGAGCTTGACATTCGACCCTTTTAGATTTTGGGGTCTTGCCATCAAAATCAAGATCGATCAGCACTGGTGTTAATATTCTCTCAGCGATTCAGACGTGTTGAGCAGTTCGTTGGCAACGTGCGATAGGCACACACCTGCGATTGCTCCGAATTCTTTAAGGGGCAGTCGCACACGGTCGAATCTTACAATATCCAACTCAAAATCTCGAGCAAAACAACCTGAGTTTCTTCCAAAAAGTTGATATACATCGAGTAAGGTATATACCTCGAAAGTTGGGAGGCCTATTTTGAGTATTTTTGTAAAGGGAGTTTCACAATAAATTTTTGTCGTTGAAGTTAAACTACCCACTTGCTGAACAGTGGTGCCATATACATACGTATACACTTCGAAGATGACTACGATGGTCCGGAGACTCGGCAGACTCAAATAATCCGCGAAGCTGAAGCAAACGGTTGGACTATGACTCAAATTTTGAAACGGTGTTGAACTAGTTGAAAGTGCGATTGGGATGGCATTTATTGGCTAATTTGTTGTTGCAATTGGGACTGCATCAAGTTTTATAAAAATTTCAAGGTTTCTATGACAAACTTACATATAGCATATTGCGCGGGTGATAATGCCAGTCAATACTCTCAAATCCTGAGAAACGATTCATGTTTAAAATTGATGTGCACGTTTAAAAAATGCTTATACAATGACGTAAAGTTTGAACAAATCTTTCACAAAGTGAGAAAATATATATTATTGTGAAATGATTCTTGAATTACCTGGGTGAATTAGTGAATTAAAATGAACTCCACTAAAATGATCGCTATCGTACTATTCAATTATTTAAATAGTATTATTAATATTCTTATTCTTTCTATAAACCGTAGAATTGCCAATATTGAAAATCAGTTCCGCGAGAAAACATATAAAAGATCGAATATCTCTATCGTTCTTTTGCATTGTCTTTAACTCTTCGTCAACTAAGATATTGATACTGCATTTGTGGAATAATAACTCCTGGGTTATTGTTTACAAAACTATGCATATTCCACTCACAGAGAAATGTAAATGTTGATAGAGAACCGATAAGAATATACTTAGTCTATATCGTCAGTGTCGTGTGACATTGACGCTGTTACCTTGAAATAAGTTTTGCAATGTTCAGTCCTTTCTGGCGGGACTCACGGTTAATAGTCAACACGAAGGTTCAAATTATGCACTTAAAATATATTTAACCCGAAGGTTTCTGATAAAATAGGCGTAGCCGAATAAATTTCGAATGTGATCCACTTAGAGGCTACATGCAACAACAATTAAACTCTTGTTGTAACGTTTAATTCTTTCCATCTGTAACATCGATTTTGTCTCGTTATAAATTTGAAAGGATTTTTGTGAAATCGTAAGAGGAAAGTCGAGTTGCCGTAGGTAAAGTTAGGGACACGCGACGCTTCTGCCGACACCGGAAGTTATTATTATTAAATCATTATTATTGGAGCCACTTTATCAATTTCGTATCTTCTTCGTATAGACCTTCGTAAATTTTTCATGATATAAATTACGTGAAATATATAACTAAATAAAATGTAAATTATATATTGCCGTGGTTTTCATGGAAAATTTTAAGTAATGTTTGGAACTATATTTGGTTTTCATCTTTTCTCTTTTTTTTTGACTAAGAGTCTTTGACGTGTGATTTTAAAGCTTCTGTCAAGTAGATAGTTCGTTATACTATTATTTTATTGATATGTGGAAAAAGTGTATAGAGGTACATTTTCAATAAGAAAGCTATATAATTACATTCATTACGAACGTCGTAAATCCTTAATCTATTAAAACGATAAATCTCTTCATATTTCGTTCAGTCGACAATAAGAATTCAGACCGAGGTAAGTTCTGTTTTTAAATTCTTTGATAAATATAGCAAAATTCTTATGTCATGGATTCACTAACGGCACCTCTTCAAAAAAGTTAAGTGGATAACACTATAGCAATCCAGACGTGAAAAGATTTCTTGGATTACGTAGGCTGTGAAGTCCTGTTCATAAATAAATTCTAACCTATATTTATATAAAGAATACTATCGTGTGATACGAGGATTATCTTAAAATCATAGGATATTATGCTTTTATAATTTAAGTATTGCCTTTGACTTTGAAACAGTATCATACAAGAATTATAATATGTCATACAAGGGATTGTTGAGTAAGTTTGAAAAATTATACATTAAGTTGAAAAAAATGTACTAAATTTTGCTACCATTTTTTTTATAATTATCAAACATTCGACTCTCGGGGATTTCACACGCCCGGAAATCTAATATAAAATGTGTTTTCTCAGACAGTCTTACTTCGAAACCCCGGCTATATTTACCAACGGCACTGCATACTGGCGCAATTCCCAAGCTAGCATTATTTACAGGGTGTCCTAAGAAATACACATTTGTGGCTGCCACGCAGTGGCATCTGGCTAGCAGTAAAAATATTATAACTTATTAGATCATCGATAAAGAAACAATCTTGTGCGAAGATTATCCACATACGATTAAAAAATTGTCTGGTCAAGGCTTTCTGTTGCGTTCTGCAAATAATTCAAGATTATTCAAATAATGTTTACGATTTGATTATTATCAACTATTATGAGGTTTTGAAAAAAGAACGTATTTTAAAGAAACATTACATTGATAATATACTGTAAGTATGTACAAATAATATCAGTGGTTCGGATATCACGCGCGGCTACTATGGACTAAGTTATGTCTAGTGTGGCAAATAGAAACTACATTATATAGCTCGATTTATCTATATAGGTCTAGGGTAGACCTAGGCCTAGTCTGGCCCAGTTTAACTCAACTTACCTTTTAGAACCTCGAACTATTTCTAGCAAATGATATATACATTATAGAAGTTCAGTAGGTAATCGGCATTTGCGAAACATTTTGTTTGTAATTAATAAAATGAGATAATAATAAATTATCTTTAAACGAAGTGAACAAGATATTTTTTTTAGAATAACAAGTAATTATGGTTAAATTAGAAACTGACTAAATATATGAAAATCTATGTTTAGAATATTTGCGTGACTGAATGTGAAATTCCTTCAATTTTAAAGAACATTTGCATTATCATTAATGCATTCCTCGCCATGCACCACGTATTTGCATTCTAAGAATCCACCACCGAGGCTTCCGGGATAATAAATCCAAATCTCGCAACGCAAACTAAGAACAATAACGTATTTTTGAAACTTTGCTGACGCCTATCAACAGACAGATAAAAATAATCGATCCAATTGATGACTTACAGATGAAGAGCACTGCACCGTTGCACAATTCGTACAACACGACGGGACTGTGGAAGGTATTATTGCACCATACTAAAGCAATTTCAAATATGGCTTGCGATAATGATCCGTAATTGAAATTGAGAATGAAAAAAAAACGCGCGAGCATCATTGCATCGATTTCGTGATCGTGCCGAATCGTGAGCTGCTCTGAATGGGAACAAGATGACGGTCTCCTACCAATACGAGGTCGCCAGTTCCACGAGCGGAGGATTCACTCGTCTCCTGTTTATGTGGCGTGGTTCTCTCTACAAGCTCATCTACAGGGAACTTCTCCTATTCCTGGCCCTATTTATCACAATCTCGGCACTCTATCGTCATGTCTTCTCGCAGTCTCAAAAGAGGTCCGATGATCGGCTAGTCAAAACTAGCTTAAATGAATTTATTTAACTTCGTACAGTTCGTCATTATACGTATTAATATATCGTTCTACTTATATACAGGGAATTTGAACAAGTTGTTGTGTACTGCGACACGTTCATCAATTTGATTCCTTTGAGCTTTGTGCTTGGGTTCTACGTGGCTTATGTAGCAGGAAGATGGTGGCAACAATACACAGCTATTCCGTGGCCAGACAAGTAATTATTTATAATTATTACAGTATCATTATACTACGATTAATTTATTGAAACAAGTCTTCCCCCTTATCAAGGGTCATGCACTCCGTGGCGCTATATGTTACTGGCGATGATGAATACGGCCGTATGCTGCGAAGAGCTCTTATGCGTTATCTCAACCTCTCTCTTATCCTCGTATTGAGATCAATCAGCTCTGCGGTTAAGAGACGATTTCCTACCCTCGATCACGTAGTTGATTCTGGTAAGATTGCTAATTATTGAAGAACACCTGTCGCATAAAGTATAGGTCCTTAAATTAGAGTTTTTTTTATTGAAATAGAAATGATATTGGGAAAATATTCATGATTATGTAGATACTTGTTGGTAGGTTTTATGACGTCGCTGGAATTGGAACTGTTCCAATCTGTACCCAGTTTGGAATTCAATACTTATTGGATTCCTTGTACTTGGTTCATCAATCTTTTAAAGGAAGCACGTCAAAGTCACAGGTTATCTGATGCTCAAGGACTTAAGATAATCATGGAAGTGAGTATAATGTTAAATTAAAAACTGGTTTTTTCATTATACTCAAATTCATTGCGCGTTTGATTATTTTATGGCTGTTTCTTGGGTTGTTGGGCTGAATGAGTTAAACGGAATCGGTTATAGCCACAATACGACTGGAAATATATTTTCTGTTAACGGAGTTGAAATGTTGATTTACACGATTGCAATGAGCAGCTTATATCGTAAAAACATTTCAATGAAGTACTTGCAGCGGCATTGTTCTTTCTTAAAACTTTAACAATTTACGAGCCACTAATTGTGATTACCTAGAACCGTTGGCTCTGAGTTACTACTCAAGTCACTTACCATGGCTGGTAAATACGAACATGTTACAAAGATACATTGTAGATTTATATCAACGGCGAACTATTGTTTTCAGGAATTTAATGATTTTCGATCAAAATGTGGTCTTTTATGGAGTTATGACTGGGTATCGATTCCGCTTGTATATACCCAAGTGGTCACATTAGCAACTTATAGCTTCTTCGCTGTAGCATTGGTAGGCCGACAATATATAGAGGGAGGAAAAAAAGATTTTCAATCGCAAGTCGATATTTATTTGCCAATTTTTACAATACTACAATTCTTTTTTTTTATGGGTTTACTTAAGGTATGTAGTCCTTGGCACATTATCAGAAAAAAAGTTTAATTATTATACATATATTGTTATTATCCATGGATAGGTTGCAGAACAACTAATTAATCCATTTGGAGATGATGACGAGGACTTTGAATTGAACTGGCTGATAGATAGACATATGAAAGTATCTTATCTTGGCGTTGATACGCTAATGAATCGCTGCCCACCTCTCGTAAAAGATATATATTATGATGCTGAAAATCTTACATTACCCTATACCGAAGCAGCAGCAGCTTACAAGAAGAAGACTTATCGCGGAAGCGTCGCAAATATGACGTGAGTAACTTGATATAATGAGAATATGCATTTTATAAAGGTACTCAAGTTGATAGTACTACATATAACGAATACCGAAATCCAACAGAGTACCGGAAGAGAAGCAAAATATGTTTTTACCTGATATCACTGAAGAAGAAGAGAACACAGGAACTATGCCCACTCCGAGAACATCGACAGCAAGTCTTGTCACTCACGCAAATGACAGTCCTCATAATACCAGGCGGTAAAGTTGAAATTGATTTTTATTGATTGAATTACATATATCTTTTTGTAGATATTGTTAATGATGAAAGCTTAAGACATTAGTCATATTTTGGACCTTATTAAGTTAACTTCGTTTGTTCCAGCCAGATTAGCGGGTCCCCTCCAACAACTCCGAAACTGTCTCGAAACTCTTCTGAAACAATTATCCAATTGGATATACAAGAAATACCTGCCGAAGGTGAACAAGGGGAACGTCGTTCATTAGCAGATACCGTGAAGAAATATTCGGCCAAAACAAAATGCTCCACCCCTCGTGTCGAGTCACAAAATAGAAAACCATTTTTTGGTCTTGCGAAAGCAGCTAGAGTGAATCTTCAACCATGGCCCAGTGCGACTAATCTCACTCATTTCAGAACGTCACAAACAAGAGAAACAAGCTTATCGCCTACTACTGCAAGAAGGGAACCAGAGCTAATGCAACAAAGAAAAAATTCTTTGAAATTGAAAGTTCCCACGCAGTATAAAGGTGGTGAGGAACATATGAAGAATGATTATCAGGGTGTCGTAAATTCTGCTTTTTCCCAGGAACGGCTTATAAACGTTGAATTAGCTAAAGAAGACGCCACTTCTTCTCAGTGCAACGCCTCAAATTTTAATGACAGAAAACATTCCATGTGTCAGTCTCAGCGTTCCTATGAAAATATTTGTCAACATGTGGCATGTCGTGATATTCCAGCTATAGAGATTTTTGAATGCCCAAGGAGACCAAGGTTACACAGTTGTCCTAAATACCTGGTACGAAGACAAAGGTCCGTGGGAAGTAGCAGGAAGAAAAGTGTTCGTTGGAAACCAGTTACGGTGGATGGTGCAGGAGACTCGATAATTCGAAGAAGAACCATTGACTCAGTACCAACTGTTAAACGAATGATAGTGCAAGCAAAGAGTTCTCCTGAACTTAGTAATTTGGGAAGTATATTATCTACAACTGGTAATGAAAGACATGCGCAGGTTAAAGAAGATGAAAAAGACAAGAAGGAGCCTCAAGACACTGAATAATAGAATATTGAAATGATGTATTGTGAGACGTGTTCGGTGCAGAGGACCATTATTGAAACATGAAGTGCAATTGTTATGATGAATCGACACCATAAAACTGGATCAATTATTTAAATTGAATGTGACCTATGGGACAGACTATCAAGATAGGCATCGTTTATATTTTATTTATTAAATCTTATATTGCTGCTCACTGCTGAAAGTAAACAGGTTTTGTATAACATATAACTTCGGAAATGAGATCTATATTAAAAATTATCTATTGTATGGAAACAGGAAATACATTATAAAATTAGGATTTAGAAAGGCTTCGCAGCTTTGCTGGATTAACTTTACTAGTCGGAAAACTAGGAAAACTAGACTTCCCATTGTACAAAATCATTCCTCGTGAAAGATTTTACTAATTAGGAGTCTGATAGTTTAGTCGTATGACTTGTCCGGCAAAGTTATGAAGGTGACTTTATTATATTTGTAGGAATAATTATTGCTCATTAAACTATATAGTACATAACTGCCGAGGTATGTTCGAATTTGTACTATGTAGAAAATATATATTCCTTCTATTGCTATGATCGTTATATAGATAATTTCATAGACTGATATTTTTTTTCCTTAAAAAAAATCACAAATCTAGAGATAGAAAATATTGCTATAATGTGCGGGAGCGAAAACACTTTGTGATTGGTCGTGACGTCACAACCTCATATCCTTATATGGAGTTTATTTTATAGTCAAATAGCCAATGAGGAATGCCCGTATTCAAACTTCGCAAATTGGCGACGAATGGTCGGCGTCATAAGACGTTACTATTTAAAGTTCGCTCACTAATCCGCAAGACGGCAATACCGAATATGAGGTTTTGACCATCGACATATAGTGCTGGACTGCTCACTGTTGCCGCAGAAAGTGTAACCGGGAATAGAAAGAGAGACCAAATCGTAAGGGCCGTTCTGTCGTTTTCTATCATTTTTCTATTGGTCGAACGTTTTCTAAATGGAACGTGTTCAGGACTGTAATATGCAAAATAAAAACCATGTGAAAGATTATTCCGCACATCTAGAATATACGTTGTTACAGTCGAATCTTGGAGACAGAAGTCTCCGTGAGTCAAACCCATCGGTCAAATTTCAATTGTCGTGATTGCTTTATGGTAGTTGAGTTTATAAAAATTCAATATTAAAAAATGGTGATTCACTGTGTTATGTGTGGGCTATCGCGAGACGTACACTTAATACGGAGTACACTTAGACGGAGTGGTTTAAGGAGGGTTTCATAGTCTTGCTTTTGCCGGTTCGATTCCCAGAACCTTTTTTTAAAATAATCTTTTTAATTTATATAAAATAGAAGCCAAAAATATAGTGATGAACTAAAACGATATGCACATACCTGGTAGTGTCCAAGGATCTTCAGCATAGTTCAGTCAAAATCGATATAGAGTTTCAAATATTACACCACCTTGAATTTTGGATGTTCATATTGCTATTGTTCACAACATGATACTCCAGTTGATTGAGAATAAATTTGGTGATCAAACTATCCTTGTAATAAAAAAAAAAGATGAAAGTTATCCAGAAGCTATGTGCTAAGTTCTACTTTGCATCTTTTTTTTGTATTATTATACGTTACATAAAATTATTTACATTAGGACAAGACCGTGTGGCGCCTGGTCGTTGATATCAGTCGATTGTTCTCCGTCATCGTCTAAGTCTGTTAAGCCAACGTAAATCGTTTTTCGAACAGACGGCAACAGATTTTCTTAAATTTATTTCGTCCACCAACAGGACACCATTACGCTGCAAAGGACTTTTAGTTGCGAACTGTTTTTTCAATATTTCTGCAAACTTCACGTCAAAAACACATTTCGAATCAATCAGCGAGAAATAGGTACGTATCGTTCGTGTACACGGTAGTGGCAAAACATTGTTTTTTCGCAGAAATTCGTAATACCCTGGTGAGCGGATGTTCATTAACATACACAGCATTATCCATTCTTGCGTGTAACGTCTACCTTTCACATCTGTACTAGCTGCCGCGATAATTTCTTTTAAAGCCGCTTTTTGACTTCCTGACACATTCAATTCCGCACACTTTCTATGCAGCGTTGCAAGTTTCATGCTCGCAATTTCCACTTTCAGTTTTTTTAAACAATTCGTCAAATATTGTACCTGTTTCTTGGCTCGATTTTTTTGACGTTGTTCACGGCTGAGCTTCTTTCGCATCGCTGCCAATTTATATTGATCGATAGAATTCGACAACTTGGAAATCCGATTAAATGTACGACGACTCTGTAATCTTGACATGTTTTGCAATGCGCGTTTTCTCATCTTCGCACATGAGTAGCATCGTCCTTTCTTTAAAAGTAAGGTACAACGCTTACTACGCCACTGTTCAACGTTATCTATGATTACGCTGTCACGTGGCAGATGATTAGTATCTACGGCACCGAGACCATGGCAAATGGTCATTTCCTGAAACCTCTTCAGTACGTTTGGGAAACTTTCATTGGTGAGCAAAATATTTTCGAGTCCGGTATCCTGCGTATTACTGAGGCATCCGTAGACATGATAGTTCATTGTTCTATCCGCGTTCAGAGTCACAGATTTTTGTATTATAGGAGAAACCGTGATGTCATCCTGTCGTTTCCTAATTACGAGAGCAAATGTAACGCGTTGACCGTCATCTATAGGCATATGAAGGAGGCTCCAAGGTTTCGGTACAGCAAGAGAACACTTTTCGTAGTTGCCTGAGCCCGTGTCTGCAGAAAAATACAAATATGGTAGTTAATATTCATTTTTTTAATTCCAGTTCCTTCCACGAAACATAAGTGCGTCATATGTTACGCGAAGAGTAACAGTACACTTTTGTATAATGTTTTTCTATTTCCTTTTCAGGTGTTCCTTTTCCTACTAAATGCATTATAAGGATGTGGTAAGTGTATGTACAGTTGGCTGTGCGCATATGTATGCGAGTGAAATCATGTGTATAAGAATGATTATTTTTCAGGTTGTCAATTTTTTTGATTCAGAAATATAGGTATGTATCAAGAACAATTATGTCCTCCAGGCATTCTAACTGGCCATAGTGAAGTCAACTAGCCATGATGAATTACACCTTAAGAGCATAAAACATTTACGTTAAATATGATTCATTAAACTATTTCAAACTCACCTACAAGAACGACAGTTGAATATACTTTCAAAGGTTGTACGCATAACGAGGTAGCTTCAGTGTGTCGAACTGTAGTTTGGCTGCATGCAACTTTCATAACTGGATGATTACTGTTCATTTTTCTTGATGCCGAATCACCAATATCGACGGAGACAGGCAATTTCACATTGGAGGGAACTACGATATGTAACAAAAATAAGAAATATTAGAATTCATATATGTACACGTGCTTAACATTTAGTACAATACAAACCTTTTATATCATCAGGAGATTTCTTAATATCAACGTAAACATTCTGAGTCAATGGGGTCATTGTATCGTGTGGAAGTTGTAAGTTACTGGAGCTCTCAAATTGCAGTCCAGTAGCCTGTTGCACTGGATCAAGAGACTTGACTGATGAAAGAATGGACTCAACAGGAACATTGCCTTGATCTTCGTTCTCATTCTTTACAGTTTCACTGACAATAGTGATTGAAGAGTGAGTGGGTCCCTCGATGTCCGCAATGTCATCAAACTCCGTTGGAATTGCCAGTTTGTCGAGCTGTACGCGTTGATATGGCGACTGGAAGCAAGACATTATGTTTTTCTGTCAATAGTTTTATCTACATGTATAATTTGTCGAACATACTTACCTGTGCTATGATGCGATTGTTTGAGTCACGTTTAACCCATTCACGATGAATGTACTTACTGTCAAAATGTTTTTCGCACACAAAATGTTTTGGCTCCAATGTGTCGATGCCTGGAATCGCCTTAGCCCATTTCTGCAAATCGCAAAAATTGTGGGGCGCGCGAAATATTGACCATTTGACTTCACAAGTTCGACGGCCTGTTTTACATCCTGGCACCACACAACGCCTCGTCATATTTGATCAACACATTAATTAATGGTCGCGGTGACGACTTGACACCACGTCTTAAAAAATGTTTATGTTTAGCGTATACATATGTATAACAATAATTAACTGTAACGACTGTAGAAAGGAGTGGAAGGGAGACAAACCAAAGATGAATGGGAAGATGCACAACGCTCCGGCAGAGATGACTGGGGAGATGTACAACGCTCCGGTTTTAGGCGATACCAAAAGCATGGCGCTAAATCGTAGCGGCGAGTCTGGGAGTAGGATTTCGTGATCATCGCCTCTGTCGATGTTACAGATTTCGCGTAGCCGCCCGGGTCATGATCATCGTTCCAGCCGGTATTGCAGTCAGCGAAAATGAATAGATTGCTCGGTGGTGGGGAAAAAGTTGCCGCCCCTCACAAACCGTTCTTGACAAACTGGCGGGGCAGCAAGGTCTTCAGTCCAACCGAACCCTAAACATTTGTATGGACGTAATGCGCATTCAAATAAATTTCAGTTATAAAAAATGCATACAAATATTGGTTTTCACTCTTTACCTCTTATCATACCGAAAATGAACATTAAAAAATGAATGGCGAAATTCGTTGGTAAATGAAACGACCCAGAACAGTTCAAAGAGAAATTTTGAAATATCATAGATAAATATCTATAATAAATTTAATTTAGTATTAAACGAGCATCGTAGTTGAGTCAATAACCTGTCAAGGTTCCTCTCTTTGAACTTTTCTAGGTTGCCCATAGTTTATTTCATTCTCTTTTGTTCGCCCACGTGGAAAAGAGTGGCGCGAAAGTTCTTAACTGGAGTGCATCTTCATATTATTCTG